TTATATTTTGTTGGTTTTCAATGAACTTCGAAATTACTTAACTTATTTTAATGAAATTTCTTTTTTATTTCATGTTTTTTCAACTTAGGACATAGGATAGTTTTTATCGCAATTATTTTGTATTTTTTATCTGTTAATTTAAAAATTTATAATTTAAAGATTATTTTTAGGTCTCTAGGTTATTTAAGTATTCAATAAATGGCGTTGTGTCTCATTTCAATTATTTCAATTTCTCATGTATTATTATTTTATGTATATTATTTTAATTGTGGTATATTATTTTGCACGTTGTTATAATTTATTAAATAGTTTAGAGATATATTATTAAATTAACATTTTATAATAAAACCACAGCAACGATGCATTTTAGTATATATATATATATATAATGATTAAAAATATAAATATAAATTTATAAATTATAAATTTAAACATTATAATTTTAATAAATTATAAATTTATAATTATAAATTATATCAAAATTATAGTTACGCATATAAATGTATCAAATATATTAGTTACACATATACACACATTTTGTAATAATATAAAAAAATATATAATATATTATAATAATTATTATTAACAACGGGTAACTTGGTAATTAATCGATAAATAAAATATATATTTATCATTTGGATTGAATATTTGAAATAACATCTGTCATTTGTCCAATGTCGATTGAATTGAAAAGAATAATGTTAATTCACATTGAATAAGAAATTCATTTATTTTACTTGATAATTCATTTCTTCTTTTTTTTCTTATTTCTTTTTAAAATACAGTAATACTATTACCAATGACTATTCGTTATTAAACTTTAACCCTAATATCGCAAAGCTTTGAAATTTGATGACACATACACAGAGAAGAAGAATAAGACTCTTGTCAAACTTTTGATACTTGCACATATGCATATTTAGCAAAACTTGAATCCATCCACGAGTTGGCCCGTTGCCACTTGGACATAAATCTGTGTCAATTACGAGGAGAATCGTGAAATAAAGTTAAACGACGTATTTCCTGTACTCTGACTGACGTATAAGAAACAGTAAAAGAAGATATAACCGATTTGTTACTTATGGTTACTTCAAGAATTTCTTCTATTTTATAGAATTATAATGTTAATCAGAATATTTATTGAAAAGAAAAAATCATTCGTTTAAAAGAAGATAAAAAAAAAAAAAATCAAATGACTTATATCATTTGCTTTTCTAATGAAAATGAATAATAGAAAATGAAGAATAGAATTGAAAGAATAAATTGTTAATTTGTATATATATATATTTAAATATTTATTTAATAATTAAATTATTGGTCAATATTTTGTATATAAAAATAATATTATATTAAAATATAATAAATTGTTTATTTTTTTTATTAAACTATTTATTTAATAATTTTAATTATTGGTATATAATTTGGCAATAATTTGTATATAAGAGTATATATCAAATAAATATATATTATATATCATATAATAAATAATATTATATTAAATTATATATATATAAATATATATTATAAATATATATATAATATATATTATATATATATATAAATAATATAATAATATATATTATAAATAAATATATATTATATATATTATAAATAAATATATATTATATATATTATAAATAAATATAATATTAAGTTAAATATGATAATGTTATAAATGACAATAATTCATAGGTTATCTTTTACGTGAAAAGAATGATTTTTTATTATAATGTATATATATATATATATATATGTGTATTTAACTATTTATTTAATAATTTTAATTATCTGCTAATAATTTGTATATAAAAATAATATTATATTAAAATAAATATAATATTATGTTAAATATGATAATGTTATAAATGATAATAACTTATAGCTTAGGTTATCTTTTGCGTGAGAAGAATGATCTCGTATTGTAATGTCTGTTACTGTCTGATTGAAGTATATAACAACGTTTTTACTACTTACTACTGCCTACGTTCTAACAGGTACTTACTACTTACGTGCGTAGTAGTAAGTACCGTTTGAAAGTATCATTAAAGACAGACTTACAATTACCCTAATTTATCTACTACTTCCTAACACGCGCTAGTTATATTCAATTATTATAAACTGACATAAAAAATCATTTTTCATTTTTTTAATTTAATAAAAATTATTCGTATCATTTTAATTAAAGCAAAAAAAAAAAAATGAAAAAAAAAACATTTAAACAAATTTCAATTGAAATTATGAACATTTATATGGATAATAAGTATTTCTTTTTCTTTTGTGTGTATATGTGTGTGTGTTCTTTTTTTATCTCACATAACATTATAAGTATATTTATATTATAAACATTCACTCTCGTCTTCTTTCCTTCGTGGTTCCTTTTTTACATTCAATACGGCAAAGTAATTAATGCAACTCTGACGTGCTGAGTGAGTTTTATGCTTTTTACAGTAGTCACACACGTGTTGTGTCTTGCAGCACGTGCAACTACTGCACGTACAAGTCATGTTTATACGTTATATGCATTTTTCTTTTTTGTTTACTTAATTTTTAATCCCTTTTTTTCAATCTCTTCTTCTATTCGACTAAATAGAAACAAAAAAACTAATGAATACCTAATTGAAATATTATGGAACTATTATATATTGATAATTTTTGATTAATAAAAAATAATAAATATAATTAATATTTAATTATTAAAAAATTAAATTAATATATATATATATATATATTA